CTTTCCCCTGTCTTCTAAACCAAGACACCAGTTCAAGAGAAAACTCTAAAAATAATTATATTACATAGCTCTGAAGTGACTAAAAGGGATGTTATTTGCTATGTTTTGAGGAATACCCTCTTTCGTTACCTATGACATGTCAGATTGACTCACTTAGTATTCTTTTCATTTTCCATTAATAAACATGGGCTTTCAATACTTTTCCAGTGCTTTAGCAAAATAAAATTTGTATTTCTGAAAATAATTGCTAAATAATATTCCCGAATCTCGGACTGCTACTTCACTTCTTCCTAGCAATGAGAAGTTTGGTTTGATGTTGAAATCATACCTTCTCTGAATCCTAAACATGATGTTCCATTCTCCTGGTCCATGAAGAGCAGCTGACAAAACCAAAAAACTGTTCCGATGAATGTTTATGAACTTCTGAATTCTTTTGGAAAAGTGTTCTTCCCCTGTCCTAAGCAAGTCTTGAGTGTCTGCCAGTATAAATGCAACACCTGTTGAAGAAACTGACGTAAATGTACACATCACAGCAGGAACGTGACCGCGCTCTCAGCACCAGCCAGGAAGCAGAATCCTTATTCAACCATTAGTTTACAAGGTGATGGAACTAAGCACACAAATGAATTCACACATCTTGACAGTGAAACACAATCATGAGATTTGGCCAGTAGTGACTAGTAATTTGAAGATAAAACTACAAGTAACTCAGATGTGATTTTCTACCATAATACCAAAAAAAAATCCCCAACTGTTCAATCCACTCAGAGTACAGACATGTGAAAGCACATGCTTCAGGAACAAGCAACTGCTCTAATGGAATGAATTTAGGACAAATGCAAAGACTGATTGAAGAGCTTGGCAAGGCCCATTTCTAAATCAAACGAACACACCTGCAACATCTTAAAGTCAGCTAAACTGACTACCATGAAAAATGAAGTTATAACCCCATCAACTAAATTATTCTGAAAGGGAAAATTAAGAAGGCTGAAGTTTAGGAGGTTTAACAATCGAGATACAAAAGACTAGTCCAATATGTGCCTTCTTAGTCTTTACAGTTCAGGAAAACTTCAGATAAAGAATCCTGTTACCTTCCTAAAGCATCTTCCGCTCTAAAAATGAAAGATAGATATTTCATGTTGGCAGTTTCAGTGATTTCCTAATCAAACCTGCTCAAAGAATCCTTCCCCTAACTCCTCTGTTACCACCAGTTCTGCAAACTCCATTTGGAAGATGAAAGCCAAGGCTCTTGGCTCACTCCTGGGTTTACAGCCATGAATACTAAAGTTCTTGATAGCCATCTTGCACCTTAGTGGCACTCAACACGCTTGCTCAGTTATAACAGGAATTTACTAAACAGTTCGGCTGATGATGACTTAATCCAATGTAGCTGTTCTACAATACATCCAAAAAAAGGAAAAAACAATGAAAATGTTTCATCCCCAAGGTTCTCTGCTCCATCCTCTGGTGTACACACAGTCATGGCACAGCTCCTTCCACTACTGCCAGACATTCCAACAAGGCACCTTCTCTCTTCAGGTCAGCACAGCCTGCAACAGGGACTCATCTTGTACTTCCTTAGAGTTCCCAAGTTTAAAAGCATAAACTTCAGAGTACTGTACCGGAAAGAGAAAAGATCACGGATCCAATTTCCACTGATTCTGAATATCGAACTCGGTGGTGTTGCCTCTGTAGAAGCGTAGAAATTTCATGATTCTAAATAAATTTTAAAAGGTTATTTTAAAAATACATTTTCAGCCAACAAGTTAGATAAAAATATTCTTAAAGCAGTGTCTGAACCACTGTAGGTAGAACTTTAGCATTGTTGTTTAAAAAGATATTTATTATCCGACTTGCAATAAAAATAGTAAAATGTTAATTAAACTTTTTCAGTTAATGAAATTTTGAAATATTTGCATTGGAAGTTATCAAACATTGAACAACAATTTTGTGTGCATACATCCAGTTTGCCTAAGGAAACTCTTGCATAATACATAAAGAAGCTCAAACGTTTTACAGTCTGTTTTTCTAAGATGTGCTAAAGGAGGATTTGCAGAAGCGAGAAGCATACAGTGGTGTGCTTCTCTGACTCTGGTTAATTAGACTGCGTTATTTTCACAGATGTCAGCATTTCATTTGAAAGATAGTTCAGAAAATCTGCATGGGACATGATTTTCTTCAAAGCTTTTTGAAAGAGTGCAATCCACTCAGGAATATTAGAACACTACACTCTGTAACATAATCATCTACAGAATGGAGTAGGTTTGGATATATTTTTTCATCCTACAAAAAAGCATTTTTGCAGTATGTTCTACAGAAGCTGCTCAAACACACACGCTTTAAAGATTAAATCACTCAATCCTTTTCAGCTAATAACATGTTCTTTACCCATTTAAGACATAGCCAACATCCTTATATAGGGAAGTGTTGGGATTTAGTGGAAGAGTGAAAAATAAAGTCAGGATAGCAACAGAACCCTGAAGGAGACAGTAACCAGAAATGCTCCGTTTTCAATTGGTCTGGAATGGGAACACTCAACGACAGCTGCTTACAAGGTACAGCTACAAAGCCACTGCTGACAGTGAATTATTTAATGCACAAATATAAATAACAGCTCTAAAAAAAAGCATAGCTATATAGGGAAAAGAGAAAGCTCATCATCAAAATTGATACAAAGCACTAACTTTATAGAAGAAAAACCATCTTAGATTTCTATTCAGCTATTTCATACTTTTGCTCGCTGGGAGTCCTTACTAACAGCAATAGTTTTGAGTAGAGCTGGGGCTCTTATTAACAGGAGTGAGTTATGCTGGTATAGCTGATGAGATCACTGTCCTCCAATACCTCTCACCATATTATGGATTAAGTTGCTCTTGAAGCAGTTCCTGAACTGGAACAGCTTACAGGCTGTCATTCCAAGACAAGGAGGCAAATAAGAAAAGGCTGTAAACCGAGGTGATTCAGGAATTACTTCAAGAGCATTCATCCATTCATAGAGCAGAGATAAGGTGCTAACCTTGTCAGCCAAGCTACCGTAAGACCTCCCTGCTTGTGAATCAAAGCCCTCTCGCCTCTCCAGCTGGCATGAAATTGGCCTCAGCTGCAGGAACTAATTACCAGCTCCTTGACATACCCTTTCATTTTTCTGGGGAACACGGTCTAGGCTTCTGTTATTAACAGATATAAATATATACCAATATCTGTAAGATTCACTGTTTTAAACTGAATTGTAAACTGACTAACAACCTACCCCAATGCTGATACTGTATAGCAGAAAATCAAGTGTTTAGGGAGAGATTCAGAAAACCAAAAACATTTCTGATTGAATTATTTATAGGCTAATTGAAAGCAGCATCAGAGCAGCGCAAAAACGATGAGTCAGGAGGACAATTCTCAAGCAGTGTAACTCAGAATAGCAGGTGGCAAGAATACTAAATAGATACAGAATTAGCTAGGAGAAAAACCACACGCAGAGAAAAAGAACCAGTACCGTAGCAGAAGCAACTGCAGACTGATATCACTGTTCTATCCTCAAAAAACTATATTCATTGACAATGCATAGAGTATTTTCACATATAAAATACAGTGTTTCTTAGCGAGTCAGATGCTGCTCTTGACAAGCGTCAGTGTACCTGCAGAGCTGTGCTCATAATAACTGTTGTTACCCATCTTGACTGGTGCTGCCCACCGCTTGCTGTCATTTTTTTCAAGGGCTGAATGGCTCTGCAATAAAATCTCCGGTGGCACCTTCTGAAAAGCTTGGAAAAGGAAAGATGACAAATATTATCTGCAAATTAAAGAGGTGAAATGTCTAATCTGCACAGATCCATAAAAGATCTGATTAAAAACAAGGGCACTACCCATTCTCCAAAATGTGTTCAGGTACCCACTACCACTGAACTACTTCAAGATGCCAGTTAGTACCTAAAGAACTTAAAAGAATCTGCATCTGGGAAGGATTTCTCTACAAAGCATTAACAGTGAGAGCAGTGTAATGAGTTAATAAGTTACTTTAGGAAAACATTCCTAAAAGCACTTAAAATGACTAAGGAACATTTGCCCTATTTCCAAAGAGTGCGTTTGTTACTGGGAACCTTTTATGCCAAGATACTTTTGGGAAGGCTGCCCTGGGCCTCCTGCGCCGCGCGGAGCGGCTGAGCCTCTGCTGCCCCCCTGAGCGCCGGCTCCTTGCACGCCCGGAAAATCCTCCCGACACCCCGCGGGCAGGCGGCTCTGTCGCTCTAAGGCTCCCGGGGTGCAGCGGCCGGAATGGAGCTCCTTGCCCAGAGCCTGAGGCAACGCTGATCCTGGCTCGGCC